TTTTTTTTTTTTTTTTTTTTTTTTGCACTTTAATTTCTTCCATTTTATCACTACCCCTTTCTCATCCAGGGACCCATCTGAGGAAAAAGTTGTTGAGAATTTTCTCGACCAAGAGGGGGTCGAGGAGGACAAAAAGATCAAAATTTTGAACATCATCAAAGGAATGGGTCAGTTACTGGAAATCGAAATTTTCTCATTCCGCAATGGTGTTTATTACTTTTTTTTTTCTCTTTAATTTAAATTAATACAATTTCAAGCAGTGACATGGGATGATCTCATTCACTGGGCAAGATGAAATGACATATTGAGCTTTCTCAAATACATATTTTTTTAAGTTCTTTTTATATGCTTCTTTCTTTTTTATGCTTTTTTGATGTGGTTATGATGTTTGGTGCACACAAAGATATCTGATGTTTGTTGATTATCTAGATTCCAAGAAACTCTCCTTAATTAGAGGCTTTTGGACATGTATAACTCAAAGTCTTCTCTGCCCAACTGTCCATGCTAGCTGCAAACTCCCATTGGATTTAGGAATCTGATCAAAACTATAATTAAACTTCTGGCATATATGAGTATTATTCAATGAAAAACCGAACTCAATGACGGAGCAATGGCTCCTCAGAGAAGAATTGTCCTCTAGTACATCACGTAACCCTCCCTATGCACAGCCACAGCACCTCGACTCTACTATTAACGTGAACTGCCACTTCACTCTACCTCTAACTAACTACTCCTGTGCCCTTCGTATTTTTCTTCTAAAATACACTCCAAATATTATTTTTCTGTTGCCAACCCAATATATGACTTTATGTGAAACATTTTGACCCTATTAGAATCATCCCATCTAGTATATTTTTTTTCCCTCAAGGACATGCCTTCAGGAATGTCTAGAACATCTGAACATATAAAACCTTTTTGATTTGTTTTTGATTTTATGTAGAAAATGATGGTGATTGTTCCTACTTCCTGCACCTCTCAGTATCTCTTTTATTTTACTATATTTTTAGATTACTATTAGCAAGTGTTGAAAAGTTGGTATCTCTGTGACTTGTTTTTGTGCTCTTAATAATAACTTGCTTCTATCACCTTGCAAATTACTTTTCTGTTACTAGAAAATACTCAATTTAGATGCTGCTTCCAATATTCAGGTTTCAAAGAAGAGGTAACAGGAAATGGAAATAGTGAATGGTTCCCAGAATTTGGAGTTGTGCAAGATGCTGATCGACTTGATGCTATTGGTGCTATAGGTATTTTATTAAATTAGCCGTGCTTCAGATTTGGGTATGACTAGGAGGGTGATTAAAAGCTGGACCTATTTATAAGCAAAAAAATCTTAAATTTTTTGAACTAAAATATAAGCAAATTTTATTGAAGGCAACTTTATTTAATGTTCTTAACCCAAAAATACCCCTATAATAATACTCTCTCCGTTTTTTTTCATAGTTGTTTTGTCAGTATTTGTTTTTTTTCATTATCACTTTTCTAAAATCAATGACTTATTAATTTTCTTTTTCATTTTTACCCTTGATAATTAATGTATGTTTACTGAACAATGTGTCTATTCATTTTTCAATGTACCTATTTCTTCTCCAACCACCTAAAGGGTATAACAGGAAAATAGATAATAAATACTTTGAAAAACTAAAATATCAATCATTGTCTTAATTCTTGTGCATAACCTTAAAGACAATGAAAAAAAAAACGGAGGGAGTAAATGAGAGCATTATCTACCATGAATATGGTTAAAGATATTTTAAGAAATGTGATGTATATTTTATGTGAAATTGTGAAATTAAATGCATATAATGAATTTTCTTAATATGTGTAAAATTAATATTATTTGCTTATATATAGGTCTAGAGGAAGTACTTAAATATTAGTGTTTAAAGCCCGTGTAGTAACCGAGATACTAAAGCATAGGAAAATGATCCTTTGACACCGGTTGTTTACACCCTGAGAGAGAAAATTATAAATGTGATGGTTGATGTAATGAGAGAAGTAAAGGGAGATAGATACCAGTTTAAAATAAGTTTTAAAACCAAGATATGAAAAATGATCAAATTTAGGTACTGTTTCTTAAGTATAGTTAATGTTATTCTCTAATCAAAATTGAAAATTTATCTTGTTATTATGCGCTTGCATTTAATATTGATCTCATTAATATATATATTTAGGCATGTTATTGAAATAAAACTCCAATTTTGAATAAAGAATAACACAACTATATATAAGGAACTGTACCTATGTTTTATAATTATGTTTGTGAAGTATAAGTGGGGAGCCTCTTACTCTGCCCTCAATATCAGGAATTGCACGTTGCTTCACCTTTGGTGGGAGTAGGAAGAGGTTGCTGCATGATCCTGCCATTCCTCCACGATCTGATTTATCCAAGGAACAATACATGAACAAAGAGGAACAAACTACTATTAATCATTTTCACGAGAAGCTTCTCAAGCTCAAAGATATGATGAAAACCAAGGTATTGCTATATTACCATATTGCTGAACTTATCAAATTTTGACGATGACCAAATTATGCATTTTTATTTTTATTTTTATGTTAAAGTATGTAAAAAATTTAAGCCTATGTATTAAGTCTGTTAAGGAATTTGAATGTGAACTACCTATTTCAGGCTGGGAAAAGAAGGGCCGAGAGAAGGCATAAGTTCATGGAGGAGTTTGTGAAAGAGTTTTATGATGAATGGAATGGTTTAAGCTGATAAACATTTCTCATGTCGTTAACTCATTATCCATTTTCTACGCTTGAAGTATATGATTTTAGCTTCTTAAAATGTAGTGCCCACAAGCTGGTTCAAAATGCGGGGAATTGTTCAAATCTTGCAACTAGCAATCCATGACTCATTTGTGTTTCATTCTCTGAGCATGATTTTCATTCTCTGAACATGTTATCTGTTATTTCTTTTCCACCTCATCCGTAGAGGTTCCATATATTGTGACTGGCTATACAAATCCTTTCCAGGATCATCCATAAGTACGGTAGTACTGATTCAATTTTGTTAAGGAACCTAGATATTTTGTTTAATGCGTACCCCAATAAAGAGGCTTTTGATCCTAGAGCAAGAATAAGTATCTCGTTGTACATAATAAAAAAAAATGGAAACTAATGATTAAGAATATTGAATGGGTCTTTACGATTTTTCTTTTTCTTTTCTTTTAGGGTCGGTTTTTCTTATGAAAAGTTGCTATACAAACTAAAAAAAAATTAATTAAATTTATTTAGAATCAAGAGTCCTTTATTTAATAAATCAAGTGATAGGAAGTTAGGAACCATTCATTCATTAAAGAGCGAATACTAATAAGGATTAAGGACAACCCTTCTAGGAATAGATTAATACACAAATCCAATTCCGGAATAACCAATCAACATAAACGTCCATTATTTAGTATTTTCCGAGCACTAACTGTATCAAACCTTGATTCTTTATCATTTTGTACTTACAAACATCTTAAATAATGACTTTCATGCCCCATATAAGAAAACAAAACCAAAAAAAAATAAATAAAAGATTACTACTAGTGACCATATCATTATTTGTTCATTTCAAGCCATCCTCCAAGTGTTTTTGAATTTGTGTAGCATCCCTATGGTAGAGGTTAACTTTCAATCCATGCTTCATGTACATAGTTAAGGCAAGCTTAGGCACCACAGGGTGATTCTCCACCACCTTCACACGGTAGCGGAATATGATGCTGGCTGCAGCATATTTCATTTGATAGTATGCAAAATCTTTGCCTAAGCACAAACGAGGTCCACCATTGAAAGCAGTGAATTTGTATGCTGACTCACTCATGAACCTTCCATCTCTTAACCATCTTTCTGGCCTGAACTCCATGCAGTCCTTCCCCCATATGCCTTCCATTCTTCCCATTGCATAGATTGCATAGATCACTTTAGTCCCTTTCTTTAGCACTGTTCCATCCGGGAATGTATCATCTTCAACTACCTGAAAATTCATAATTGAACATTTGCATCACCCCTAGCTGCATTCAATATGACCTCGAATTGTGTGATTTTTTTAACTGACTTGTCAGGTTCATGTTTTCCAATAAAATTTGGTCCATGCTTTAAGTCAAATTTGAGACACCAAGTTTTCTCTCTGATATTCAAATATTTTAGAAATTTCCCCTTTATTGTGAATAATTTAATTATCAGTTCCGGTCAGTGATGACCTCACCTGTGCCAAATTTTTATGGGTGGCGTGCGAAAGAGTTGTGTTGTTGGTCGACGTAATAATACCTAGTAACTCTGTGAAACACAGAATTCTGTTCGGAGAATTTAATAAAAACTTGTGTCGATTCATTGAATGTAAGAGAATCAACATGTAAGTAATTACACAAAACTTAGATAAAACTTGTTACTGTATGTGTTTTTCTAACTATTCTTCTATTAGAATTAAAATTTCACCTAGTAGAGTATACTAGACATTTAATGTAAATATTTATTACATTACACACATTAATAAAGGGATAAAATTTAGATATAATTTGTTAGGTATGTTTTGTATTGTTTTTTAATCAAAATTAAAAATTTACTACGATAATGTATAAATACATATTAATAAGATTTACATTAAATATAAGTGTATAATATTAAGATAAATTTTCATTTTGATTGAAAAATAATATTAATCACATTAAAAAAAATAGAATTTAAGTTTTGTCCTTATAAAGTGAAACTTCAATTTTAACATAGAGCTAATAATAGGATTTAACGGTCATGCCTACTGTAAAAGTCAACCAATTGAACGATACTGTAGTGTATGTATTTTTTTCTCAACTAAACTGTTTGTGACACACTCTATATACTACTATGGATTAATAACCAAAATGGGATTGGTAAAGCATATAGCGATTGGAATGGAGAAGAAATGAGGGTGACAAAAATTGAATACTCACCTCCTTGTGATCCACAGGCACAGAGGGGTATAATCTTAGAGCTTCTGATAAAGCAGCATGTAAATAATCCATCTTTTTGATCTCCTCAGGCCTAAATCTCAAAGAATTATCAAACTCTTCCCTCTTTATGTCCTTCCTCTGACTCACCACCCTGCATATATCTGATAGTATATTCTCCTCCACTTCAGGATTCTGTTCAAGCAACCAGAAGAACCAACTCAAAGCAACAGAAGAAGTGTCCCTCCCTGCCAATATAAAGTTCACACATATATCCCTCAGAAACTTATCCGAATAGGGTCTTCCATTCTCATCCTGCAGCCTCATAAACACGGTTAACAAATCTGACCTCTGCTTCGTTCCCTCACATTCCAAGGAAAGTTCCTTCTTCCTAGTCCTAATCACATTCTCAGCAAACTCATCAACCCCTTTTATGGACTTCTTCAGCTTCCTTTCCACCCCCAAGTTGAGAAGCCTCATGGCCTTCCAAACACACGTGGGGGTAACAAACCGAAACACCGTGGCTTCTGTTGCATCCTCAAAGGCTTTGGCAAATGGTATCTCTGGCAAATCCAAACGCAAACAACCTGGATCAACACCAAAGGCTATCATGCAAACGTTATCAAAAGTTAGCCTCAGGAGAATGTCTTGTAGGTCTATGGCAAAAGATTTTTTAACCGATGCCTCTAACACAGGCAAGAGCCTATAGTGGACAAGTTCGAACAATGATTCTGTTGTTAATTGTCTGAACCTGGTTGAATGAAACTCGATGCTTGCTGTTTTTCTTTGCTTCTGCCACGTGTCGTCGTCTGCATTGAATATGCCATCTCCTAGAAGGTCCCTAACTGTGTTCCTGAAGTAACCTCCCTTGGGGAAGAGAGGGAACTTGGTTTTGAGAAGGTGCTCGAGGTTGCGAGGATCCGAGGTGACAATGCAGTTGAGGTTGCTAAACCATGGCCCTTTGAATCTGAACGTGCCGTTTTGTTTTATGAGAACTTCGGTGATCCATTCATACATGTTGGTTCTGAGTCCTGTGACCAAAGAAGGAAGCATTCCAAGGACAGGCCAAGTGACTAGGCCATGGTGCTTCTTTTGCCTCAGGGAGTGGATGAGTATGAAGACAAGAAGTGCAATGAGAATCTCCAGAATTTGGATGTCTTGGAGGAGGAAGAGGCTGAGATTGAGGGTTCTTGGTTTGGTCATGGTGTTGGAATGATAGGGAATGTGGGAATGCATGGTCTTAGTTATGTTTGAAGGGTGGTGTTGGTCATGTGTGTTATATGAAGTGGTGTATTGCATGGCTTGTGTTTCTTGGCGTGCTTAGTTTTGCATAATCAGTTTGATTTGGTGAGCTGAAATGTTGGCAATTGGGTATGATAAACTGTTTGCACTGGTTTTGTGTGAAGGTGTTCACTTTGGGGAAGTTTTCTTGGCTGAATTTGTAATAGGAATAGGAATGTGGGGGAACACTCTAAGTTTGAGTGTCAAAATACCTTTTTTTATGGCTTGACTACTTGACTAGGAGGATGAGAAGTGGATGTGGCAGATTACCTAAGTGGAAACTGTTAGTACAGTTTTAATGTCCCACGTTACTTTCTGATTACTAGCTTTATTAATAACTACCTAGGTATTTGCTTTTATTAGAATATATTATATTCAATTCGATATTAATCTCGTTTTGTTGTGGGTCCAATGAATTGTGCCAAGCTTGTGGGGTCGCCTTTTTGGTGACACTCGGCAACTTGATCATCTTCATGCTTGATGTGTCAACACTTGCAAACTCCCATATTTGTACAAGCACTCAAGCAACTCAACCAACAAGGAAATTGGTTTAAGTATAATTATTCTAATTTGCTTAATCATATAATTTAGTACCAAGTAGGTTAGTGTAAGTTCAACAATATTTGATTTTTTAAATAAAATTTCAAATTTGAGCTTTGTAAATAAAAAAAAATAATTAGAAACGGAAATTATATGTATAAAGAGCAAATAAAATATTTGTCGACATCTGTAGAAACTAAATTTTATGTTTAACTTTTTTATTTCATCGTCTGTAATTCTGAGGAAAAAAAATGATAGTCTCTCTCATGTCTCAACGGCCATAATTGCAACATAAATTCACTGTCATGAACAGTGCATAAATACTACTAATGTCTATGTAAATTTTAATGAAAAATGGTGAGGACAGTTATATCAATATCACCTTCTTTTTTTTATTTTATTATTATTTAATTCTTTATGCGAATATTGTTTCTAAGCTTAAACTTGTGTGGTTATCTGAAGGAATTTGAGGGTCGTTTTTTAATTTGGTTGCAACGTTTAATCAGAGAAGTTTACTCGGTTGCACTTGTATCGTGGTTTGTGGGTACAATATGTTGCTTAATAAAGAAGCAAATAAGGTGAGAACTATTTTTCTCTTTGCGATTAAGAATGCATACGTAACTATTGGCACGTAAAGCAACGATTAAGGAAAAAATAAAGAACAAGTACCAGTTGTTATTTTGATTACCAATTACCATTGCTGAAAGTGGTTGATGGTTAGTCAAAAAAATGTTTGACTGAAATTTGAATGTGCAGTTGAGACTTACTTATAGTTCTAGGAAACAGGAATGATAAATTTAAGTGAAAGAAGGAATGTAGACGAGACACAGAGGTTGTTTCTCAACTAACGCACACCTAATACAAACAAAAAAAAAAAAAAAAAATAAGAGTTAACCACTTATATCTTAAAAAAATTTTATACTAACAACTAATTATATTTTTTAATTTACTTTTAACAGTAACATAACATAATTAAAAGATATAATTAGTTAAATTTCTTGATTTTTAATTTGTGATCTTTTCTAATTTATTCTTTGAAGGATATACATACATACATATATATATATATATATATATATATAT